GGGGGAGGCAACTGCCTGGGTGGGGGAGGGGAGCGCTTGGGTGATGTAGGTGACTGCCTGGGTGAGGGAGGGGACCGCTTGGGAGGTGGAAAGGACTGCTTTGGAGAAGGAGGAGGGGATACTCTCGGGGGAGGGGGGGACTTCCGTGCTGGTGGAGGCGGGAAGCGCTTGAGGGGAGGTGGGAGCGGCACAGGAGGAGGGGGAAACCGCTTGAGAGGAGGCGGTGGTCGCTTGAGAGGGGCCGGTGGCGGCGACGACTTCTTTGGAGGTGGGGATGGCACGATGACATTGAAGGCACGCTCACGAAACTCTGTCAGCTTGCAGTCGTTGACCACTTTGCGGTCTCCCACTTTGTCAAAGCAGCGGTTGCTGGTCCCCTTGTTATTATCTCCCCAGTTGGAAGAGCCTGTGTTTCTGTTCCCTGCATGATCAGGTATGGGAGGCGGTGTTGCCTGCACACCGCCGCAGGCGGTTCAACATAAGATGTCCGCATCCGAACCTCCCCACTCACCAATGTTGTCGTCTCCTACATTGTTGGTGCCAAAGTTGCGCTTGCCCCTGTTGCCGGATCCAATGTTGCCACTGCTGTCTGCCGTGCAGGCTGTCTGCCCAGGCTTGAGGCACTCCACCGCCACAATGACCTTGGTAGAGCGGGGCGTCACTAGCTCTGCAGTACTCATGCGGACAGCATCCATGGACAGACCCAGGATGTTCAGGGTAGATGTTCGCACACTCCCCGCCTTGCTAAAGCCCTGCCGCCTGTTGGTTGGATGGGAGAGGGTTGAGAGTGACCTTCACTGTCATGAGATTGAATTGCACAAGACAACCTCTTGCAACGTCGCCAAAAGATGTTGGATGTCACTTGCAGAGACCTTCATGCAGTCCTGCCTGAGCTCTGCTGTTGCTCGTACTTGCAGTATGCAGTGGCACTATCATCGGTCAGGAACTCGACATGGGATCCCAATCTGCAAGAGTGTTTAGGAGTGAGTGGTTAGATAGCATGCCCGACCGCATTCACGACTCACCCGGCATCATGACTTTTCGCATACATCCATACAATCGGTACATCGAATGCACTGTCCTGGAAGGAGCCGGAAGCATTTTCGGCCACCACTTCCGCCGCCCTTCACTCGACCTCTATGACTCACATGGCGCTGGGAAGAGCAATGAATGCTGACTCGCAGGCTTCCTGTGGATTCCAAGAAGGTTTGGCTACTGCGACAGCCGTTTGTATGGTGGAGGAATTTCCTTATGCGCTCCTCCCCCTTGCACCCAGCGAAGCGAAGTATCCTCACCGAAACTGTTATGACACCACTCAGAATGATGAGAACAGCTAAGACAGCTAAACTATATGTCCGCCTCCCCATCAAGATGCGATGAGGGTCTTCCAAAGCTCTTGAGACTCTGCTAGCATTCGTACCAGATGGGCTCCTGCTAAGCTCGGACGTCGCGATACTGCCCGTCGGCAGTAAATCCGCTATTGTCCAGACTCAGAGGACCAATGGAGGGAAGTGCTGACAATATTGATGTTTGTTCTTCCCCGGTCACGAGTATTGAACAGAGCGACCCGGCTGCTGACCGGACGGTATCCGGCCTTCTCCAGTGATTGGATGGAAGTCACGATCTACTTGGTGTCTCACGAACACGCTGTGCCACAATTGGCCCTACTGGAGTGCCCATTACATTAGTTCAATCCGAATGGGCTGCACTCCTATAGATGGTCTGCTGAGCTCGAGCTCAGGTTGGGGCTGGCAAGAGGAGGTATGACAAGAAAGGCAGCATCATGACGTTGTAATAGGAGCTAGGGAAGCTACTGATGAGTTATCGCCGTAGTTCATGTTGCGTGGAGTGGACAGACCCTAAAATACCATGAATCAGGCCGGGTATCGTGTAGCAGTAGGCTCAAGGAACTATTTAGTGCTTGCATACCTCTCCAGATGCCCCTTGCCCTACAGGCAGTGCGTTCTTCCATGTAATGCACTGTGACGTGCAGCTGAGGCCAAATATATACATCAGATGTGGGCAGGGCCAAATATGCTGGTAATTTCTGCAGGGGTGGGCTGGGACATGGGTGCCTATGGAAGATGAGTGGCGCTGCCGGGATATGCATGACTGCGGGAGATGTACTGCCCATCGCAGTTTTTGCAATCTGGCGGCCCCTGGAGCTCTATCGGAGATAAAAGGGGACACTTTGAGTTCCATCTTCCTGCAATTGCGCAGAGCAGTACGGTTGGTACCATTGGAAATGCAGAGCTGACGCACTGAGGCAGGCAGTGTGGAGGTGTTGGGGGTTCCACTGGCCAATGGAGCTGTACCAGATGGAGTTCTGGAAGAGTGGCTGTGGCCATGGCTTGCGCAGTGAGCGAATTCCTTCTGGGCGAGGAAATCATTCTGGATCGGACACTGAAGCCTGGTGCACATGCATCAAGTTCTGCCACTCAAGACGGTGGTGGAGGCGGCGGGTAGTGTGTGGTCACCAAGGTGAGCAGTACGAAGTCGGAACGCTGCTTGGGCGGTCCAACGACAGTTGCGCTCACCTTCGCGTAAGCGAAGAGCTTGGCAACAACAGGAAGGGCAGTGGCTGTGCGTTCGGTCACGGTGGAGGTGGGCTTTGCCGCATATGTTCCCAGCACGGTATTGTCGGATGCAAATGTCACCAAGGTCAGCGAACTGGCTATGTAGCTCCCTGTGTCGATGGCGTAGTTGAACTTCAAGCCATTCCAGGTCATGGTGCCCGTCGGGGAGGGAAGGACTTGGCTTGGTGGGGAAGGGGGGGGTGATGGAGGTTGAGCTGTTGGTGGTGCCACACACACCGCCGTGGCCGTAGGCGTGTCTGCGTCATTATCCACACAGAGAGTGAGGACATCCGTTGATGGAAAGCTGGTGCAAGTACCACTGATGGGGTACACCTGGCTCGAGCAGGACAGCAGAGGGTCACTGGGGCCGGTGGTGCAGTGGGCAGCGTTGGCGGCATAATTGCCATCATAGCAGAGTGCTGGGACGGCGGTGCTGTCGTCGCACACTCCTTTGCTGTTCACGGGCGTGTAGCCAGCCGCACACGCAGGGGTGGCAGGGGTCGGTGGTGTTGGCAACTTGGTGAGAGTGACGACCAATTGTAGGTTGGTGTCAGTGTCCATTGTGGTTGCAGTTGCGAAACTGAAGAGGGTCATTAAATCCTGTTCTGTGGTTGCTGTGGCTTGTGTATAGGAGAATGAGTCGTCGCTGGGGGTTAGGTAAGAATTGGTGTAGGGTAGGTAATAACTGTCATACAGCACAAAGTATATCATCTCGGGACGGAAGGTGGTGCTGAGACTGAGGGTGAGAATCAGCGGCGCGACATTTGACGAACTGAACATGACTTTACCCTGAGCAGTGTATGTCGGTGGCGGAGGGGGAAGAGGTGGAGGTGGCGAGGGCAAGGGTGGAGGCGGGAATTGCGGGGGCGGGGGAGGCGACTCGCTGGGCGGGGGGGGAGAGTGCAGAGGTGGCGGAGGGGATTGCGTGGGTGGTGGGGGAGGGAACTGCGCAGGCAGGGGAGGCGACTGCTGGGGCGGGGGGGGGGGGATAAAATTGTATAG